ATCTCTTCTCTTAGATGTGTTGAAGTAGTGCATTTGTCAGGACTATAGCCAGGTGATAGTTAATAGCTTCAAGGACCATAAATCAGAATTGTATATCCAGAACTCATAATCCAGTAACAAAATAGCAAAGATCAAACTAAAAATTCGTAACTGTTCCTATGTCACATGTAAGTATGACAAAACTGCATAATACTGAAATGCTTGTAAACTATGTCGTGTGCATAGACAGATAGAAATAGAGTTGATGAACCAAAGATGAAAAGAGATGGAAAGGATGGTACTGTTAGAGAATATACCTGAATTTCCAGCCACTAGAAAGTAAGTCTAATATGTTATCAGCGTGAATAATGTCTTGAACTCAGAATTGCTCCAGTCAACAGCTATAATACTTGACCTTTTATGCACTTCAACTTCACTTCATTCATCGATGTCATAATCACCAATAATCCTTACAAGAGCAAATTCCATTGTGAAAATGGTGGAAGCGATTGGAATCACGAATAACAATTTCCTTATTTGTAATGTCAGACACACCCTTCATGAACTCATGGCAGTCTCCACATATACGAAGATTTTTAAAGATTCTAATTCTTCTATTGTTGGCATTGCTCACAAGTGCAAAAGCCAAAGCTAGCCTCTCACTATGATGGAAGAGGTTTTCTTTCTTATCGGCATCTGGTACATTATGAAGCACATAATGTGTGTTTGGAGTATAACCAACCGACTGAAGTCTTTGATGCAGGTCCTCCAACTTTTGGTAAATATCAGTTAATCGTGGATGTGAAGCATCCTGAGACAAGAAGACATGCGTTTTGGCATCGACCTCAACCCAGCTACAACCAGGTTCCTTCTTAACACCTCTACTTGACATTAATGCTCTAATTCTTGAGACATCATTCCACCTACCTTTGGCTGCATATATGTTAGACAACAATATATAGCTTGAATCCTCATCAGGTTCAATTTCGAAAAGTTTTTGAGCAGCTTTTTCACCCATTTCTACATTTCCATGAATTTTACAAGCCCCAAGAACAGTCTTCCAAATTAACGTATTTGGAGCTATTTTCATATGTTGAATGAAGCTTTCCAGCTCGCTAAACCTGCCTGCCCTGCCAAGGATATCAACCATACAAGCATAGTGATCAACTGAAGGAGCAATTCCATATAATTCGCTCATCAAGTGGAAATGCTTCTTTCCTTCTTCAACCAAACCCATGTGGCTGCATGCAGAAAGGACACCAATAAAACTAACCCCATCAGGCTGCACATCTTTATTCAACATGGCTCCGAAAGACTGAAGAGCCTTTTCATTCTGCCCGTGTTTGGAGTGTCCACATATCATTGTGTTCCACAGCACTGTATCAACAGTTTCTATGCTCTTAAATATCATTTCAGCATCATCTACGCAACCACATTTTCCATACATATCAACCAGTGCACTGGCCACATATACATCACAAAAATGTCCAGACTTAATTGCCCAGGAGTGCAGCTGCTGTCCATTTATAAGGCTTGCTATCCCAGCACAAGCCCTCAGGCAGCTGGCCAGAGTAAATTCGTTAGCTTTGACTCCTTCCCTCTGCATCCGATTGAAGAAGCCAAGGGCCTTCTCTCCTTGATTATCAGTCTGAGCATAACCAGCGATGAGAATTGTCCAAGTAAAGATGTCCCTTTCACTCAATCTGTTAAAAATCAACTCCACATCATCCAGGCATCTGCACTTAGAGTACATGTCAATCAGAGCAGTTCCTACATGACCATCAGTACAAAGGTTATTCTTAAGTAAATAGGCATGCACTTGCTTCCCAAAACTAGCATTTAGCTGGCTAGTGCAAGACCTCAAAGTGCTTATTAAAGTGTACTGGTTTGGTCTTAGGCCTTCTATAAGCATCTTCTTAAAAATCATTGGTCCTTGATCAGAACTTTCACCATCATGATATCCAGATAAAAGTGCATTCCATGAAACCACATCCTTTTGACTCATCGCAGAAAAAACCTTTAGACCATCATAAACTAAACCAAGTTTCATGTACATGGTGATCAGAGCATTGCTAACTGACAAATCGGACTCAAAATGAAATTTCCAAATGCAAGCATGAATGCTTTTGCAAAAGCGTGGATCACCCAAACCCGTGGCAGCGCTAACAACAATTGAGAGTGAAAATTGGTTAGGTCTCAATCCCGATTGCATCATCGAATGAAACAACTCCACCGCCTCTAGTTTCTGTCCTTGTTGATCAAGGCCACTCATCATCGTACTCCAAGTCACAATATCAGGGTCCCTGATCATCTTAAATACTTGCAGTGCATCATTTGCCAACTCACATTTGGAATACACATCGACTAGACCACAACTAATAAAATCATCAAAGGCACTCCCAATCTTGATTGCCATTGAATGAACAACCTGGCCTGCCCTCAAACTCTGCGAACTGGCACACCCCTTCAGAACAGTTGACAAGGTATAATTACTGAACCTCATATCTGACTCTGTCATTTTACAGAACAATTTCAAAAGTTTATGTCCATCACCAAGTTGGGCATACCCATTAAGCAAAACATTCCATGATACAGCATTCTGCTCCGGTATGACGAAAAATACTTTATCTGCATATTCCATTTCGCCACACTTAGCATAAAGATCAACTAAAGCAGAAGCAACATAAACATCTGTAAAGGCCTCCCATTTAACAACCTCAGCATGCAACTGTTTCGCGAATTCTAAACCAGAGACCATGGAACAAGCTCTTAAGACTGTTGCCAACGTGAACTCATTTGGTCTTATGCCTTCCCTCCTCATCTCACAAAATAACTCAACACCTTCTCGGCCAAGCCCTTCAGCTACAAACCCCGAAATCAAAGCAGTCCATGACACTACATCTTTGTCAGGCATCTCATCGAACACCCTACGCGCAAAGCTCAAAGCCCCACACTTAGCATAAAAGTTAATTAACGAAACAAATAAATGACTGTCAGGGTCAATCCCAATCTTGATCAAATTTGCGTGACGAGCTTTACCCTCATTCAAGCATAAATTTACAGCACAATACCGAAAGGTTTCCGAGTACCATCTCAACACCCTTCCTCTGTCCAAATTTACAACAGCGCCGTCGTCATCCACCCCGCCTAAATAATCCCCTCTAATTCTCCTTTTACTCCCTCTTTGCATAGGAAGCAGCACCGAATCAGGAGAATCGAGATTTCTTGGACCCGTTTTGGACCCATTTGAGAGTCGGAATCTTGGGATTTCTTTGTTCCTCCCTCCATTTCTGGACACGTTTGTGGGTGCACCAGGCGGCCCAAATCTTGGGATCTTGGCATTTCTAAATTGAGAATCAGTAGCTATATTATTGTATTCGATGGTTCTGGGAGCAGCACAAGAGGAAGAAAGAGACCGCACAGATAGTAAAGGAGGTGTCAGAAAAAGTGCCTGGCTTTTGCTGGGGAAAACCATCAAGCAAGGTATAGGATAAAGAGTTGACACGAAACCTCGGATGTCGGGGGAGGCGGGAGACGCATTGGTGGGACGTCAAAATTGCATTTCATTCTACATCAACATTATTCTTCAGTAGTGCTATCAAGTATCAACGCACCAGAAGGAGAGTAAGTTCATGTACTAACAATTTTTTTCCGAGACAAGTCAGACGACAGATATTTCATGAGGTTAAATTGGAGGGGAAAAAAATATGAAGGTTATTTTTTTTTTGTTTGCCTGAGGTATTTTAGTTAGTTTACGATGAGGCTGACAAAAATTTAAAAAAAAAAAAAAAGAAAGAAATTATATAAGGGTCTGTCTAAAAATAATAATAATAATGGTACTTTAAAAAGTGTAATGCTTTTGTATCTATCCTTCAGTATATGCTTTGATTGTTAAAAGGAAATAGCGCGTTGTTCAAATCGGGATAAAAAAAAACTTTATTATTTTATAGAAGTTATTAATTTATCAAGATTCTATTGTAGTATATTTTTTCTATTCTTTTTTCTTGGAAAGGAAATAGAATACCGGTATAAACATATAAGTACTACTTTTATGGTGCTGCTTTTGAATTACTGGATTCGTTCTACCCGAAATAGTTATTCGTCGAAAAAGTAATATTGATTAAGAAAAAGCATATAAATACAATTACGTACATTAATAATTGTTAGCGTGTTAATTCATATAGTTTATTAGATATGATTTAAATTCTAAAAGAAAATATATTTGTTTGGTCAAGATGGATGAAATACCAAAGGAATATCATGAAATACTCTAATTTACAATTTTTTAAGTAAACTTTTAATTAATTTTAACCATGATGTACTTGTTTTTAGGATTAAATTACACTAAGCCAAATTATTTCCTTTTCCCCCTCGAAGTGAACGTCAAAATTCGCATAATCATGGCATAGTTTACAATTGTTGAATGTGTTTTTTGAATTTATTTTTTATTAACACAAAAAAAAACATAAAAAGGAAGAAAAACTTTTTTTAAAATAATCAAGGACGAATAAAGATACATTTACTCGCTATTGTTATTTGATAAGAAAAAAGTTTTAAATTTAAAATTTCTTATTTAAAATTTTTTCTATATTATAATTCAATTCATCCCTCCCCCTTTATTCACTTAAAAACAACAAACTTGATATTATTACTGCATTATTTTTCTTCTTTTTCTGATAGCACATTTTGGTATTCCCTTTTGGCCATTTCCCAAAAATTTTCACAACTAATACATTCTAAAAAATGAAAAAGAAAAAAAAAAGAGAGATAGTTTCCATGAATCCCGTGGTTATCTCGCGTCCATAACGGGTTCGAGCACCGGAGCTTACAGGCTAGCCGCCGCCTCATCCTAAATTTTTGGTTGGGGCCCATAAGCCCCATTCCCGCAACCCATAATGATGAGTCAGGAGTCAGGACTTTGGCAGGCAGCCAAGCTGTCGGTCATTCTTAACTGCGGTTAAATTTTGACCGCACCCTTCCCTCTTCTGACTTTGCACTCCCTCCCTCCCTCCCTCTCGCTCGCTCCCATATTTTCTTTCGGAGCCGGGTTTTAATCCGATATATTCGCAGTCCCCGGCTGTTTGTCTCCTCCCCACACTTCCACTGTGTGAAAGAGAAACTTCAGCCAAAAGAAAAAGAATTAGTTCATTCGACTTATAACTGTCGGTGGACGGGTGGAGTTTTTTTTCTGTTTGCAGGAACGGCCATAGATTTCTCATTTTCTGAGGGTACAGAGAGAAAAAAAGAATAAAGGAAAAACAAGGAAAAAAATATATATATATATAGAGAGAGAGAGAGAGAGAGAGGGAGCAAATAAAGAGAGAGAATCGCTTGGTATATAAGCCATTACAGCTGAAGCCACGGCCTCTGTATCCATCTGTACCACCTCTCAATATAGACTGATATATTCTATATATTTCTGTATCTTTCTCTCTATATAGATTATAATAGACGAAGAGGTGTTAAATCGAGCTTCCTTTTGGTTTCCAAGCGACGAATCCCGGAGCCACCGGCCATGGCGGAGTCAAGCTCAAGCGACTCCGTTTCTGTCGATGTCGAGACCATTTATCTTGGCGGAAAGGTTCCCCTTCTCTCTCACCTTTCAACTTACTACGTCTGTTTCTTTTTTTTTTTTCTCTTGAGTTGTGTTGTTTATTTATGAAAACACTCGATTTTACGCAAAATGATGAAATGCTGTGTTAGGATTTTCGGTCCAATATGTCTGTTCAAGAAGAAAAAAGAAACGGAACGTCAGTTCTAGCTTTTTTTTTTTTTTTTTTTGGCTTGAGAAGATAATCTTTAATGGTAATTCTTTAGTTTATTACTCTTTGTGGTGATTTTCTTGTGTAATATCTTGGTAATTGGCGAATTCTTTTCAATTCTTTAGAGTTCTGGAACTTCTTCAATTGTTTTATTCCCAAATTAAGTAACCAAATATCGTCCATATCCAACACGAGATCTCTTACCCTGGAGTTGTAATTCTGCAGTTGCAGTTGGAACTTATGTATTTATTGAGCCAAATTTTGAGATATGATTTGTTTAGCTAATTATCTGTTTTTGTTGAGTTATTAAAATCTCATCCAGCTTCAATCCTTTGTTACTAAATGCCTTGTAGCCATTTCTTAATATCTTACAAATTTGCGTCAATTGAGGGGGTTTAAAAAATTTTAGATTCTGACGATTTTTTTTTTTTTTTTGTCTAGTTTTTATAAGATAAAGGAGATAATGGATCTTACTCGTTTTATTTCTTTGCTTCAATGATTTTCCCCTCGCGACTGGGGGGAGGAGGATTGCAGTGAGGGCTTCCTGTTGCGTTAGTATTGCAGAATGAGAGTGCTAGTATTGTATGAGCTATCAAATCTGGCAAGTGAAATTTCAGGCATAAAATATTTGAAGCGGTTAGGTTTTTTGGACTTATGTTTGGTGTTTTTCTGGGCATTTTATATAAGGTGGCTAAAGAGAGAATTATCTGTTCTCGACGTTTCCAGTTGGTGGTTTTCTGATTCCTGAAATCTATTGGTTAAAATTTGCCAAATGATGCAAACTTTTTTGTTGTGACACCTGTCATGTTCTAATTTTCAGTTATTTAAACCAAAACCACCGTGGCAGTTACTCTGGGCATTTTTTGGCGCTGCCTGTGTGTTATTTTTCTTACTGGTTAGGCGTTGCAATCATCACTTGATTATTCCATCTGTCAGGGCATTATTTGTAGTTGGCCCCACATTTTTCTTTTAAGCTGGATTTTCTTTTTGAAGAGTCCAATCACTGGAAAACTTAAAAGCTAATTCTTGTCCCACCTTTTTTTTTTTTCTCTTTTTCTTGCCAAAGTAAGAGTATAATTAATTAATCAAGAGAGGATGAATTGCCTATAATGGACTGAAGTTTTCTTTTATTTCAAGTTTGCCACAAATAAGCAACGATTTTTCCTTAGTTGAATTGGTTTTGTCCAGCAGATATTAATGGTACGGAGTATGTTTGTCCTTTTTTTTTTAATAGTTCCCCGAAATTTGGAGTTATGGTGCGGTTGGTTCTCTATTGGAATTAGAATTGGTCAAATACAATATCAATTGCAGACTGACTGCAAGCACTACTTGATCTTTTTGTCCTTGGTTTGAAGTCCCTCTGCCTCAGAGAGTTCTCCTTAACATCAGACATTATCGTCAATGCAGGAACATATTGTAAGGACTGGCCGTGGTTCTGTGTCTGTTATAGTATACGGAGACAAAGAAAAGCCTGCACTAGTCACTTATCCTGATTTAGCTCTAAATCGTAAGTTATGAGCTTGTTCTTTTACAATTTAGACGCTCAAAATGTTTTTCTTTCTTTTTTAAGATACATTTCTCTTGTTCTTTGGATCATTTTCTCTAGTCTGATCAGTGGTTTTAAACTGTCTTTTTGCAGACGTGTCTTGTTTTCAAGGATTGTTCTTTTGTCCGGAAGCAGCTACTTTGCTGCTGCATAATTTCTGCATCTATCACATTAGTCCTCCTGGGCATGAGGTCAGTAAAGTCTTGCGTGTTGGCTTTGTATTTAAAATATTATGTTTCGCGGTCGCAGTTCTTTTTTCGGCTCTAAACATAGTATTTTCTTAGTAATGCTTTTACTCACATAATACTTTTTTGGGGACTTCCACAAGAGTTCCTGCAGTTGGGAGCTGCAGCAATTTGTCCTGATGATCCAGTTTTGTCTGTTGACGATTTAACAGATCAAATAATTGAGGTTCTAAATTATTTTCGGTAATTTCTATGCTACAAGTCAAATAAATGCAGTATTTATTTTGTGCTGGTTTCCTCCAATATTCATTATTTTAATTTGCTCATAATTCCTATATGTATCTTGATCATTCACTTGTTCCTGATAACAAAGTGTGATCTGATGATGTAGGCTGGGTGCAGTGATGTGCATGGGGGTGACAGCTGGAGCTTACATCCTCTCCATGTTTGCTGTATGTTACTTTCATGAATCCATGCAAATGTCATCTAATGGTGCTTGCTTTTATTTGATTGACATTGTTTCTGTCTCAGATGAAGTATAGGGAGCGGGTCCTGGGATTGATCCTTGTATCTCCACTATGCAGAACCCCTTCCTGGACGGAGTGGTTTTGTAATAAGGTTTGTTTTTCTCTTTTCCCTCTTTTACGTCTATTTGTTGTACATGGCCTAAAGGAATTTTTGTAATTTAAGGTTAAAATTTTTGCTAAACTGCAGGTGATGTCAAATTTGCTATATTACTATGGGATGTGTAGTCTGCTGAAGGAGTGCTTACTTTATCGGTACTTCAGCAAGGTATCCTTGTATTCTGATCAATCAGTGAGACTTCCTCCATCTAGCCTTATGTTTTCTTCCCCCTTTCTCCCACTATCCTTCGACCTAAGGAAGTTAACTGAACTTGAATCAGGAAGTTCGTGGTAGTGCAGAAGTTCCAGAATCAGATATAGTCCAAGCTTGCCGAAGAGTTAGTCTTTATTCTTCTATTTCTGCATTTTTGCTTGAATCAGACATATTCATGTTATAACTGGCCAGATGCTTACTTATTGTGGTTTGTGTTTTTTTCTATATAAATTGTTTCCAGTTGCTAGATGAGAGGCAAAGCTTAAATGTCTTTCGATTTCTTCAAGCTATTAACAGGTAGAAGAAATTTGAGCATTTAATTGCATTTGGGCATTTGAACTTTGTTTTTGAATGGATACTACAATTACATGCCTTGCCAATGAACAGGAGACCTGATATTACTGAAGGCTTAAAGACACTGAAATGTCGAACACTAATATTTGTCGGGGAGAATTCTCCTTTCTATGATGAGGCTCTCCACATGACAGCCAGACTGGACAGAAGATACTGTGCTTTAGTTGAGGTATGCTGTGAATGACGCTGTCCTAAATGGCATGTTGTCATTGTACTTCATGTTGGACTCGTAGCTTTTCTGCAACTGAAGCCAAAAAGAATGGGGTCCTGATCTCTTTTTTTTGGTTTCTAGGAAAGTTTCTTGACCATGTTCCACTGTTCATATTAGTCAGACTTTAAAGAGAGAGATGCACTAAAGATATTGAACTAGCAGTACTCAAGTCACCTGCCTTGAATTTTGTAAGGGTTTGTAGCACCTCTTAGAAAAACCCATCTTACAATGTCTCTATCAGTTGTTGAGATCTGAATTCAGTGTACAAGGCAATAATTATGAGATCTTGTGCCCGATCAGTTGGCTACTTATTATAGCATGATATGCAGGGGAGATAATGTGGGATCAGTTTAGGGAGAAAATACAACACAATTGTCAAATGCTGATGATTTATTGGGACTTCTCCAGGTCCAGGCCTGTGGATCAATGGTGACAGAAGAGCAGCCTCATGCGATGTTGATACCCTTGGAGTACTTCTTAATGGGGTATGGAATGTACCGACCAAGCCAGTTTACTGGTAGCCCTCGGAGTCCTCTGAGCCCAACTTGCATATCACCGGAGCTTCTCTCTCCAGAAAGCATGGGATTGAAACTAAAACCAATCAAAACTCGGATTTGATATTGACTATCCTGAACAGACCAAGAAAATGTTGGATTCAAATTACATCTTGTATATGAATAATCGACGTCGTTTTTTTTTTTTTCCTTTTAATCTTTTTTGTAATTCTATTCAATTGTTTTGTTAATGGGGTAGATATGTTTGTAGATATAGACATGGGATGATGATATTCTTTAATGGACATAGACGGCGGAGATATAAATTCATTCATTTGTAGTTCAGTCATAAAAATTCTCTCGGAGTTGTAACTTCTTGAAAGAGACATTTTATATGATGAAAAGCCATCAATAATTGAGATTATGAGGTGCTGACCCTTCTATGACACGTATTCTACTTGTCTGGACTTTGTCATGCTTTCTCGGCAATCTACCATTACCTCCCTAGACAGCTTCGTGATGGAACTGTCAAATTCATGTTCGCTAAGGTGGTTCAAAGTGCTTGGTGGGCAGCCTGGACTGCCGGCACGTGTAAGCCACTAACATAAAAGGTTGGCGTCGGTCGTTTTCTCAACTGTTATGTTGCATGGACTAGGATCTGGGAAGATAAGATGCAAGCGCCAACTGGGTGTTGTGGTTTTGCGGACGTCTTGTATACCACCCTGGAGACGACGTTGTACTTGTATTGCCATGTTGACTTGGACTCCTCAAGGGTAGAGTCAAATCGGCCACCTGATGTTGTGCTAATACCCCATATTTTGGGCACTTTTTATAAGAAATGAGCGTAGATAAATGCCAACTGTCTTTGTTATTTTTTTACTGAATATATAAGTTATCACATCAATATGGCAGAATACTATTCACATTTAAAATAATTATTGAAAATGGATAAATAGATCCACTTCAACACAATTATGACAGCACAATCATAGTTTGCGGTTTTGTTATATAAATAAATAAATATATATATATTTTTTGGTCAGCAACGATACATTTGTATAATCTACTCTATCCATTTCTAAGGGGGAGGAGGAGGAGAAATCTAAGGAGGCTAGTGGATATACAGACTCAACTAGATCAAGAGAGTGTTCTGACACAACCGTTAAATTTATTTCTCTGCAGGTGAGGTTTTAGGAGGGACTTAAGCCCCTCCTTGGTGGCCACTGAACTATTGGCCCAGTGATTTTGCGGTTTTGTTATATGTGCTCCACGCACTAAGCATCCCAAAAAAAGATTCGGTTGGAAACACAGTAAAGTGTGTTCGAAATGTATAAATTATTTGAGATATTTTTACTGTAACACTTTTTTTAATATGATGTATGTAAGATAAAAAGGTGATTGAAAAATGTGTTGATGATGCAAGCTAATCAGTGTGTGTAAATAAGGTGTAAATAAAGTGAAATAATCTTCAATCCAAACCCACAAATTGTTAATTACCTTAAAATTGCTTATACTTTAGCTTTTAAAAAAAAACTTTTCTACCGAAACCACCTTTTATTTTGTGACCCGTCTAAAAATAGACACAATAATGGTTTAGAGAAAAATGAAAATTCCAAATTTCAAGATAACACAAAAAGGGTTTTGGAGGAGAGGGATCGAAACCAATGGGTAAGCTTTTCGAAAAGATAATTAATCTATTAATTGTCGAAACTTTAGGACTAAAAGTTGGGAAAAAATTTTTTAAAAAAAGGTTAAAAAAAAAACTATAGGAAGGAAATAGGGAAAAAAGGAAAAGGAAAATTTTGGTCCAATAATAACGGTACTGATTTTGCGCATAGAAATCATTTAGTAAATGTATTGATAACCCAACAACACAGACCCAGAAAAGGAAAAATAGGAAAATCCAGCAGTCAAAGGCGGAGTTGGACTCTACTGCCATATTTCAGGTACCATAGGCGGCCGGGAAAATTTTTTTGTTTTTTTTATATATTATTCTCGGGTCGCCGAAAAACCTCTGAAAATGGCCAGCGAGATCGTGATAATATTCGACTTTGACCGGACGCTGATAGACGACGATTCTGACAGATGGGTTATTAAAGGAATGGGTCTGACCCACTTGTTCAATCAGCTCCGACCCATTCTATCTTGGACATCTCTCATGGTTAGCAGTAGTAGTTATAGCAAATATCCGAGTGTGATCGCTCAATCATAATGCATAGGATCCTCACTTGTTTAATGTCTTTGAGTATTCTATGGGTCGAAAACTTTGGATTGTGTTAATTGAGTTTTTTCTTTGGTGCATTAGATCGGTTTTAGTTGAGGATTAACTTTGATTTTTGTGAATGTTATGATTTTTGGTTCTGTTTAGATGTAGCTCGTCTTTTTTTTTTTTTTTTCTGATGGAAACAGTTGTTCATCACAAGTTGGTCCTTCTGGGCTGGGATGTCATGCATATACTTGCATCTAAATTATTGAAGTTTGATTTAAACAGTTGAAGCATGTAATGCATGTTGAATTGTTTGGGAGATCGCTGGATCCAAAAATTGGCTATCGAAGCCCCTGAGCTTCTGGGATTTTCTTTGAAGTGTAGAAAGTTGGAAACATAAGGTAGAATGTTGGATCAAGTGTCAAGGTCTAATGTAGCGTGATTCAAGTTTTTGCTTTCTGAAGATGAATATTCATTTTGTATCCGACCATAATTGCACTGACAAAAAAAAAAAAAAAAAAAAAAAGAGCAATGAAAGAAAAGAAAAACTGGGGGATTTAAGCTGTCTTGGGTATATAATCTTTACTTTTGGATTCAGGACTGGAATTCAAGATTGAAGATTGATGAGCTGTAGTTGGCACTTATGATACGGTCTTCTGTTTTCTAGGATAGGATGGTTAAGGAACTACACTCACAGGGAAGAACAGTAAAAGACATTGCTGAGTGTTTAAAAGGGGTTCCATTGCATCAACGTACTGCTGCAGCCATTAAATCTGCACATGCTTTGGGGTAAAGTTCTAGTGTGCCTTCATCTTGACTAACATATGTCATCTATTTTCGTTTATAAGAAACTAAAATTCTTGGTTGTGCTAATTTATTTCATGCTATGTCAGATGTGATCTAAAGGTGGTTAGTGATGCTAATAAGTTCTACATTGAGACTATATTGAAGCATCATGGACTGTATGACTGTTTCTCAGAGATCATCACAAACCCAACTCTGGTGGATGAACATGGAAGGCTTCAGATCTTCCCTTACAATGACTTGGCGTCACCTCATGGTTGCCATCTCTGCCCTTCCAACATGTGCAAGGTATTCTCATTTTTACATTTAAGCGACACGCCACTTTGTTTTCTACTTACTTTACCATCTTAGTATAGACTTTCTCCTCAAGATTAAAGTGTCCCTCAAACAAGTTGCATTCGTCTGCTGTCATGATAGACGCCCAACATTTCTGATGTGATCTAAATAAACACTAGCGAAGGAGCAGAAAAACTCTCCCCATGCAAACTTTCTTACTGTTTTGAGCTGCTTTTGGTTCTTGATGTTCTCTCCATTTACTTCTGTTTTCCTTTTTTTCCCCCATTATTCATGACTTAGTAGATGATAAAGAGCAACTTGGATGACAGTTGTCAATCTGTCAAAACTCATGCACCTTTTGTGCATGGAGGCTTCCATATTTTGAAAATATTGCACCTTTACTTTTCCTCTCGCCCATGATCTGTAATTCTTTGGGGCTAAAACAGCTCGCTATTTTCTTATCTACCTGATGGAATATATGTGTTTAAGAGAGCTAGCTTCAACTGTGCTTTCAATTTGGCTAACATTGGTATTTGCTTGGCAATACTTTGTTTCCGCAGTTGTGTTTAGTTTTTTGGGTGTTTGACTTGATTTGAATGCTGATGTTTTACTACTTTCCATGTAGTTGCTTTTGATGATGAAAATGGTAAAATTGGCAGTAAGAATTGAATTTTAAATTCTTTCGAGGGGAAAAAAGGCTCTCCAAGTACAAAGATGTATTAGTTGAAGTGCTTTATAATATGAAGACAAATGTTGATTGATTCTTAGTCTTTCCTGAATTACTCTTACACAAGTCAATGGCAATGAGGCCTTCTGAGAGAATCTCGCGAGTCGTGAATATTGTGTAGAGGTGTTTGTGATGGTGGTTACGCTTTAAACTCCTGACAATCATATCCTTTTTCTAGTTACCAGTCTGTTATTGTAGCAGTAATCCTGTTATCAGTGTTAATGAATTAAACTTTTTCAGCAAACTTTTCACGCAGGGTATTGTTATTAAGCGGATCCAAACTTCAATTGGTCCACGTAGGGAGGCCAAATTCATATATCTTGGGGATGGAAACGGTGATTTCTGCCCAATTCTGAAGCTTGGTAAAGGAGACCACGCGTTGCCTCGAAAGGATTATCCTTTATGGGAACTTATCAGGAGCAATCAAGAGTTTGTTGAAGCAGAAGTTCATGAATGGTGCAATGGTGAAGAACTTGAGCAAATCCTTCTTGCACTGATTGACAGAATCTCTGGTGAAGATATCAAAAAGGCACCGGTGGATGAAATTCGTTAGTATGGTATAAATGGATTATGCCAGTGACTACTGCACAAGCCCATAAATCCATAACCAACTTTTGCACTGTCGTCTATCTCTCAAGTGGGTGCTAATTACCATTCTGGATGATAAGCCAGGGGTCCGGCCTTATTGCATCAAGTTTGATCTTCTGTGCTAGTTTGCTGTAGTAGAATGACCTAAATATCCATTAACTCTTTCTTCTGAGATAGGATACCATTTAGAGAAACAAAGAGGAGAATCGTAGCAACCTAATCAAGTCAAAGGGTGAGAATAAGTTCCTCTTTGCAGGTTTGCCCAGAATCTGCTACCAACTTATCTTCTTTAAAAAGAAAACGAAGAACAAAACACCTGTTAAGATTTTATATTTACGCTTTTCAAAGCTAGACTGATGATAAACGATTGTACGTAGGGGATAGGACTATCATGAATGAATGAATGAGATTCCTTTGTGATGTGAAGAGTAGGAAAATCGTTCAAAATATTTCTCATATTTTGTAAAATATTTTTTTTCGTCCTTCATTTTTTAAAGTGTAATTTTACATCCCTTACAAATTTGGTCTTTATCTAGGTTTTTGATCGAAATTCATCACGCACCTCGCACATGATCATTTTTTAAGAGCAAAATTATCAAATCAAATTTTACATATTTCAATTAATAGTCTCTCACATTTTACAAAATAAATTTTTGCATCCCTAACATTTTAGAAAATGAATTATTTCGTCCCTCACATTTCACAAAATGAATTTTTTCATCCCTCATATTTTTCAAAATGAATTTTTTCATTCGTCATTGATCATATATACGAATAGATTTTTTTTTCTTTAAACCCATGTATATATCTATTTGATTTCACCTGAATAGTATGAATATCATGTAATATATTTCTATTTGATTTCACTTAAATAGGCTAATCATAGTTGTACACGTGCTATTTAATAGATATATACAGGGGTTTAAAACTAACAATTTTATTTTAAACTCATATATATATATATATATGATTTTATCATATGAACTTATTCAATATTTGTGACCTTTCTTTTTTGATAATAATTTATTTATTGAGTTGTATAATAGTGTTATTTAATTAATGGGTCCTAATTTGAATTTTATGGTAGTGCTAATAAATTACAGTTTAAATTTGAAATTTCTACTCGCCATTTTTCAGACTAACAGTTGAATTACTTGCCTTGTAATTGTCTTAAAATTTGAAAGTGCTAATCATTTACTTCTTTTTGTCATACTTTTTCTATGTTTATTTTTTGTTCAAATTTAATTCAATATAAATACTTGATAATGTTAGGATTAAATGTTTTCTTTGTTTTCAATTTTCAAGTAAAAAGAAATGAATATGAGTGAAAAACTAACAATTTTTTTAAATCTATATATATATATATATATATTTGATTTTACTTGAATAGTACAAATAACATGTAATATATCTCTATTTAATTACATCTCTATTTGATTTCGTTAAGCGAAATTAAATATAGATATATTACATTATATTTGTACTATTCAGGTGAAATCAAATAGATATATACATGGATTTAAAAAAAAAACTATTCATACATATGATCAATGAGGAATGAAAAAATTCATTTTATAAAATGTGAAGGACGAAAAAATTCATTTTGTAAAATGTGAGGGATTATAAATCGAATTATATAAAATATAATTTGATAATTTTACCCTTAAAATGATCACGTGTAAGGCACGTGGTAGATTCTGATTAAAAACTAGTCGAAAACTTAGGTGGAGACCAAATTTGATCAATGTGAATTTGTAAGAGATGAAAAATTACACTTTTAAAAGTGAGGGACGAAAAAAGTCATTTCACAAAATGTAAGAGATATTTTGAACGATTTTTTCCAAAGAATATTGTACACGTTATTCAGTGTAAGGCTTTAATTACAGAAATGAACGCTCGCCATGTGAATTACTTTCACCCTTCAATATCAGCCAGTACTGTGTATACTGTAACTTTCGACTCGAGAACTTTGTAAGGTTTGAACTTCTGAAGTCTCTTTCTAACCCCAAAAATAAAAGAAAAATTTTAAATATCAAAACTTGTTTTCATGCGATGCATCAGAGTGCGTTTGGATTAGTTATTTTTGGGGATGTTTTTAAAAAATTTTACTGTAGTAAAGTTTTTACAATATATTTTGGGATATTTAAGAGTAGAAAAGTTTTTAAAATATATTTTGAGATATTTTTTAAATATTAAAAAAAATTAGACTATTTTGTAAAGTACCTTTTAAAGGCCCCTGTTTGGATAGCGATTTTTCATAGAAAAATTATTATATTTTTCGTAAACAAATTTTCCTATCATCTTTTTACCTCACATATATCATATCGCTACAGTATTTTTTCTACAAAAAAAATCTAAAAAAATGCAATCCAAACAAGGTAATATTTAAAAAACTTTTTCGAAAAACTAGCTTTTGAAAAACTCAGCAATTCAACCAGAGCTACTTTTTAGGTCGATCTTAATCGTAAATTGCTTGAACGATTCAAACAACGGTCACGGCTTCCAGTCTCTCAAGTCTTAATCTGCCAACTTAGAGAATGGTGGAAGAATTTTCATCTTTTGCTGCTTCTGGCGGACTGCATACATAGCTTGGAATCTACCTAACAGAGACGTATGGGTTGTCAGAGTCTGACTTGTCCAGAGTCCACACCCCATTATTATAAAAGAAAAAATAAAAAACCAAAAGTACCGAATGAAATGCCAAAACCCGTCTAGACAATCCCACGTGTTTTATCATTTTGTGATTCTACCAACAAATAGCGCCACAACCTTCGAGATTGTGTAAGCAGACGACGTTTTCGATTTTTCTTTGTCTTCCATTTCATACTAATGCAAGTAGCATAACAAATAGAGAGATCCCCATCCCTTCTCTCTCTTTTTCCTAGAAGGGGTCTCGTCTCCTTGATTTTCTGCTGCAAAATTGAATGGAAAAGAAGAGAGAGGAAAGAGACGGGGCTATGACTATGAATTGGGATGGGGTTATCGAGGGCATGCCTTTGTTTGCAAAAGAGTTGATTGCTGGGGGTGTGGCTGGCGGCATTGCCAAGACTGCTGTTGCCCCTCTTGAACGTATAAAGATCTTGTTTCAGGTAGTGTTGGGTTTGATATAATTTGGGAAATTGCTTATTCAAGTTGACTTTAAATAATAATTCTGTCAGCATGGGTCTTCTTTGGCGTCCCTCTTAGTCTCTTTATCGTTTGTGGATTCAAGTGCTTGATGGAGGCTGCGAATATGTAATGATGATTAATTTAATTTATTGAGTCCAAAAAACTGATTGTTCGTAATTGGCCTTTCTGGGATTTGCATAAAAATGTGGCAGTTAGATTCAGCTTCTGCTGAATTTGGGTCCTTTTTTGGGTGATCTTAAAATTGATTAAGTAGCTTGTGAATCCCTATTCTTTGACTTTCTTGCTGATTTGGGCTGCTAGGGAATGTTTTACAAAGTTGGTTTGATCACATTGTTTATAGATTGAGCAAACATAATCTGCAGTTCCACTGACAAAGATTAATCTCTTAGTTTGTTTGTCTGTTAGAAGGTGACCTTATGCATTAATCTGATACTTCAATAGAAAAATCATCCAACGCTTCTTGGGATTGTTTCTCACTTAACCTCAAAATTAAAAAGTTGTGTCTGTGGGGTTTTGGTAGTTACTACCTATATGGTACGAAATGCTGTTTATAGTCTGGACAAATTGGAAGTACATCATGTGTCAACAAGAACTGGATTTTGAAGTAAAAGAAAATTGCAAAAAATCCAAAAAAAAAAATGAAAAAAAAATCCAATTTTGAGTCCTTATGAATATGATAGTGGCATGCACCCCTTGTATACCCTATGGTGGGAAGTCGAACAAATATACACTAACTATGCAGATGGGATTAGTTTTGCTGCTTGAACTTGCAATGGTTGACTGGAATTTAAGCCACTTATCATTAGCAGATTATTCAGCTGATTGGTCAAGAAGTAGTTGTTGGTTTTCTGCCTAATTCTGAGTCATCCTAGTTTAGAGGTCTCAGTTTTTTGTTTTGTAGACTGTGTATGATTATAACCTAGCTTTTCCTTTTTGCTGTTAAGGATTTCAGTATCCTTTGCCTCTCTTCATGGCGCTGAAACAAGGCTCGAGACCAACTGAACGCATAGAAAACAGAAATATTTAAGCAACTTCTAAGTAACTCTATGCAGTGAAGCAATCTTGAAGGGCTAGTCTTGCAATCGAGCATGAACTGATTGAGAAGTATATTAATAATTAATGGAGAGAAAGACAGGAATTGAACAGTTATTTTGTTGTTTATTTATTTTTCCTAGACCAGACGAGCTGAATTTCAGAGCATAGGGCTCCTCGGATCATTCTCAAAAATAGCAAAAACAGAAGGATTGCTGGGCTTTTACAGGTGAAACAGTCCTCCTTTTATTATATAGTTCTTTTTATCACAATTACCTTTGATCTTATTTATGGGTTATCTGTCATTTACATTTAGGGGTAATGGAGCTAGTGTTGCTCGCATTGTGCCCTATGCAGCACTGCACTACATGACCTATGAGGAATACAGGCGGTGGATCATTCTTGGTATACCTGGCATCACTAGAGGTCCTGTTCTGGATCTCATTGCGGGATCCTTTGCTGGGGCAACTGCTGTGCTTTGCACTTACCCGCTTGATTTAGTCAGGACAAAATTAGCTTATCAGGTATGAATGAGAATGGCTGAGCATTTGACTTAATTCTCTCTTTCCGGAGCACATTTGCACTTCGAACTGACATTTTATTAGTATCATCTTAAATACTTTGGGAAGTCTCTTGGCTAATTTAAATGATCTTTAGCTTCATTTCATACTTTGTGAAACATATGACTGATTTGTCTCGAGTAGTAAAGGTTGTTGGATCACCAAAGTTGAATGTAAAAGGGCTTCTTCCCAATGAACAAGTTTATAAAGGGATTCTGGATTGCTTCTCCAAGACTTACAAGGAAGCTGGAGTTAGAGGCCTTTATCGAGGTGTTGGTAAGTTGCAGTAGTGCTGATTTTCTGTCTATGTAGAATTCGGCAAACTTCTTTATTTCTCAATATTTTTGGCAGCTCCATCCCTTTATGGGATTTTCCCTTATGCTGGTCTGAAATTCTATTTCTATGAGGAAATGAAAAGTCATGTCCGTGAAGACCACAAAAAAGATATTATGGTAAAACTTGCTTGCGGATCTGTAGCAGGTTTACTGGGTCAGACTTTTACTTATCCGCTTGACGTTGTTAGGAGGCAGATGCAGGTATGAATGGAATAGATTATGTCTTTGTTTTTTGGACTCCCTCTGTGAGTGGTTCAAAGAAAATATAAACTGCATTGGCAGGTCCAGCGACTTTCAGCATCTAACAGAACTGATATGAAAAGTACCATAGACACACTTGTTATGATAGTTCAAAGGCATGGTTGGAAACAACTATTTTCGGGGCTTAGCC